TACTAGTATTCTTATAATCTAGTCTTTTAGATAGTGTATTAGTGGGGTTAGTCTTACTCGACTAGTGCTTAATAATAAAGTTATATACTATAAGTATTATAGCCTAGCGGGCTTATCGGCTATTTAAGGCCTTAACGTTTATAAACTCCTTTAGGTTATTATAGTTAGTTAGAACCTTAATTAGATAGATACTACCCTTATAGTAGTATCTCTACTACCTAAACGCTATAATAATAGCTAGGAGCTTCTAGTTATACGTTTTGTAGTTCCGCTCTATATTAATTATCTTTTTTAACTAAAAGGCTATAGAATACTATTAGCTATTCTATAGCTACAAGAGGATACTAGCTACTATAAATATAAAAGTATCCGTTTTAATATAAATAGGTAGCTTAGAATTCAAGTGAATAAGAATTAGTATAGTTATAAAAGCGTTAATAAGCTAGTAAAATACTATTTTTGCGGCTTTAAAAAAAAAGAATAGTCTAATCTTCTTTCTATTCTTACTCCCCTTTAATATTAAGGTTAAAGGGCTGGTAATCTTAGAGTATCAATAAATAAATCTATAGTAGAAATTAGTAAAGCTAAGAAAAACTTAGATATCTTAAAAACTTATAGGCTTAGGCTACTTCTATAAGGTAGCTACCTAGTAAGAATCTATTATAACGCTAGAATCGGAAATAATAAACCTAAGAAACTCTACTTATAAGATAAAGAATTTATATTTACTCCTTTTAGTATATAGCTAGTATTATCTAAGCCGTTCTAATATAGCGCGTATATAGTATATATAACTCTTTCTATTATTAGAGTATATAAGGATATTATCTAGATATACTATATAGGTTATATCTACTAAATCTACTAAAATCTAGTTAATATACGCCTAGAAGGTTACTAGTGTATTAGTAAGCTTATAGGGTATAATTATATACTCAAAATAGCTATAGCGCGTATAAAGTATAGTCTTCTACTTATCGCCCTTCTTAATACTAATATAATAATAGGTATCTTAAAGGTCGAGCTTACTAAATACCTTTAAACTACTTAACCGGTCTAGAGTTTTAGTAATAAGGGGCAAAGGGTAATAGTTCTTTATCGTAATCTTATTTAAGCTATAATAATTAATATATAGTTAAAAGCTTCCGTCCTTCTTAGGGATAAAGAGAACTAGTGCACCTACTAGACTAACTAAATATTTAATCTAGCCCTTTACTAAGGCGTTATCTAGATAGCATCTTAGCTCCTATAATTCTTATATAGAGAGATTATATGAAGAACTATAAGGGGGAGCTTTCTCGCCTATATTAATAGAATACTCTACACCCTTAATAGGGAGTTTCTACTTATCCGTGGGCTTAAATACATCTATATAGTCTTTAAGCTCCCTTAGAAGTAGTAAGAGTAGTAAAGGCTAGAGGTCTAGCTCTAACTCTTCGCTTTTCTAGTAGCTCTATAGCGCCTTAATAGCGTGTAGGGCTATATTCTACTCCTTTAGCCTATTATAAAGGATAGTAAAGACCCGCGGCTCTACTTATATACCCTTTATAAATTACTAGATATCTATAATCTTATAAGCCTTTAATAAAAGCTTAAAGCACTAGGTATTCTTAGGTCTAATTACCTCTAGATACGCTATTATATCCCTCTTATAGAGGTGTTAGTATGCTAGGGGTACTAATTCTAGAGTTAGTATTATACTATTATAGAAGCGCTAGCTTCTACTTTTTATCTAAATAGTAAAGTCTACTTTTTTAAGACTTAGTTTACCTAGAAGGATTAGGGGTCTAGAGAGATTAATAGTATATATTATATACTATCCTCCTCTCACTTAGCCTTAGTAGTCTATTAGCTACTAAGGCACTAAGTAGGCGCTATAATAGTATAACTCCGCATTATTTACCTATAAAGGAGTTAGTAGGTTGCTATTAATCTTTTTAAAACTGTTCTCTAATATAAGCTATTAAGATACTATACTAGTATTAATACTAGGGTTAATAAGTATTTAGGTATCTACCTAGTACCTATCGAGTTGAGTCTAGCCTAAAAAGATATAACTTAGTAAACTCTCTACTATTTGTCTTCGCGTCGCTTATATAGAGCCTTTTATAATACTTTAGCTTTTCTTAAGCCCTTACTTAACTCGCGTATAGTATATAAGGGAGTCTTATTAGCTCTAGTTACCTTTATAGGGTAACTTTTAGTATAATAGTCCTTTAACTCGTATAAGAGACACTCGCTATTTTTAAGTTATTTACTCTTTAAGGTGTTTTACTAGTCTTTTAACGGCGTGTTACTATTATCTTAATAGTTAGGTCTTTTATAGCTCTTATTAGGCCTATAGGTTCTAGCTAGCTAGTAACTACTCAGCTACCTTCCTTCTAAGAAGGTAGTAGTGCATAGGGCTTTTACTCTCTTCTAGTTATTCTCTAGTTATACCGCTAGCTCTAATAGGTTCTTTCTTATAGCTAGAGCCTCTTAGTAATTAGTAATAGCGGTATAAAACTTAGGGTATAACTTTATTAATAACGCGTCGCATTACTAGTAAGGAGTTTATTCTTCTATTTAGTCTTTAAGTATTCGGAGGTATATATTAAAGACTATAACTAACTAATTAGCCGTTTATTGCGCATCTTCTATTACTATTACAATAGTAAGCTTATAATTCGTTAGGTTCTTAATAAGGTTAAGTAAGAAGGTAAAAAACTACTTCTAGGTATATACCTTACATATAGCGGGAGTAGCTTCACGCGTCTATACCTTAAGAGCTTCTACCTTAAGGTATTACTAAGTATAGCGTACCTTCTAGCTATCTATTATATATAACCTAGAGTTAAGTTTAAACGTCGCCTCTACGCGTTTAACCTAAAGCTTATATTTCTTAATTATCTTACCTTAGTACGGTTTTAGCTTATAAGGCTAAAGATAGCTTTTATTAAGTATATTAATAGAATTAAGATAGCGCCTTATAGGCATATTCTACTCGAGCGCTAAAGATAAAGAGGTAAAGTTAGGTTAATTAAGTTTAAGTAGACTTAAAGTAACTAGTCCTAGAGTAGATATTAATACTAATAGTAGTTAGCCCGCTTATTACTAGCAAAGAGCCTTAATCTCCCTTTCTAGCTCTTCGAATTCCTACCGGTTCTAATTTAATTATTAAAGATACTATAGCTCGTAACGTCTCTCCTTTAGCGCCTCTATACTAAATCTTATAAGACTAAGTAGAAGCGTCTCTAGAACTATTAGGTTCTAGATATCCGGTAACTATATATACTAGGTTAGTACTAGGGTTTCGCTAGCTTCGCGTTAGCTAGATATCTTAGCTTACTTATTTATAGGTAAGATATTATTTTAGCTAGCCTTTAACTAAGAGTGGGTAGTAATTACTATACTAGGCACTTAGGTAGATACTCTAAGAGAATAAAGACTTTAGAATTATCAATAACCTAAGTTCTCTTATTAAGATCTATAGACTAGTGGATTAATACATCTATATAAGTAGCTAGTAGCTCGATAGTATCGAGCTAGGTAATTACTAGTAGTAAGATATATTCTATGGTAGTTAAGAAATAGTATCTAGTATTATATATAAAGACTAAAGCCTGCCGTCTATTAGATAGTAGGCATCTATAGATATAGGAAGAATGCTAAGAAGGCGGGGTTATAATATGTAGCTTAGTAACAAGCTAGGCACAGTATAGCTTAACACTATACTAAGGCTCTCTTCTAGCTAGGTTATAACACTTAAGTAGCTTAGTTTAAAAGGCTAGTTTAGATAGATTATATAGTATTTTCGACTTCTAGGTGGTGTCCTAGCTTGCTAGGGGTATTAGGGTTCTAAGTTTAATATTAAAGGTTAAGAGAATAGTATCTAGACTAAATAGGACTAGTCCTAATTCCTAAAAGCCTCCGCAAATATTCTATTCCGTAATAGTAGCATTAAAGGCTACTTTAAATACTAGAAGGAACTCGAGCTTTATAATATAGTTAATATAGGATTATGTTAGGTCCTTAATTTATTGTCTATACACCTATTTAAGTGGCTTAAAATAACTAATATTAAGTAGCTAAAGGAGATAAGATAAGTAGGGAGGTATATAGAGTGTAATAATATTATTCTCTTAATAGAATCATTTAAACTAGGCCGAGTTATAGCTCTTATAGCTATTAAGAATAAGAAGACGAGGTGCTCTAGTTATACAATACTTTATATACCTATTAAAGTGCTAAATCTATTTAAATCCTAGATTGTTTATTATCTAGCCGTTCTTACTTATTATAAGAACCTAGTTGCGTACTATATCGTTGCTATACTAAGTAGAAAGGTAGAATTATCCAGCTAGAATTACAAATAGTAGGATTACCTAGCCCTAGAAGTTAATTCTCTAGATTACTATCACCTATTTCTAATTATCTAGCTAGATCGACTTTAGTCGATTGTGTTATTCTAAGCTTATAACAACTATTACTATTAAAATAATACCTATTTAGAAGCTAGTTTTATTAAAGTTATAGATATCTATCTCGGCAATTCTATACTTTATAATAGTATTTTGTATAAGCTTAAATTATTACTTAATTAGCTCTAGATCTTTATGTTATGCTTGCTGATAGTTATATTTGCGATTAAATCTAGTTTTAAGCTCTAGGCAACGTCTAACGAAGTTTAAAGCCTACTTCTAACTAATCTAGCCACTACTCTAATCGATAAGTAGTTAATTGGCTATATCTTTAATAACGCTTAACCTAGGTAAAAATCCTCGCAAATCTAGATCTAGAATATACTAAATAATAACTAATTCCTTAAGATCGGTGAGTTTCTAAGAATTGGGTGTAGAATCGCGTTGCGAGGTCATTCTATAATACCGATTGCTAAGAGTATTTCGGTTAATGAAATACAGCTTTGCAGCTGCTCTAACACTCTTGATTTAGCCTTTCTCGATTATATGGATAGTAAGGTTTATTCTGCCTTTAGGATTAACTGATAGGATGTTAAATAAATGAGACATAATGTATTTAAGCTATGGTATGCGCGTCGGACGCGTCTCGGCGCGCAGGTGGCCAAGTCGCTTGTCTGGCCAACTCGCTTATCGAGTACGTTATATAAACTTTCTGAACACGGTTTCGGACCATTGCTGACGAAGCTGCCTGTTCAGCTTTCGACGACCAAACCTCGACCTCCATCATCCCCGCCGGCTCCGGCTTCGAAGTTGTGTTATGCCCAGGCGGCCGCTCGACAAACATCCTGGCTTCGGAGGCCGACCAGCTGAACGAGCTTGCAAACACAGGCCACGTGTCAAACCAGGGTGGTGGCGGTAACAGTAAGTAGTTGAGCTGAGCACCTCGCACGCTTCGCCCCCGAGTGACGCCCCAGTATTCTTATCAAAGGTGCGCGCTTGTCAAGCACATAACCAACTTGAGATTGGGCAGAGTGCTGACGCTACCTGTAGATGCTGCTGCCTCTACTGGATATAACGCTCAGGCTCCTGGCGTCGGACAGGGTGGCGCTCCGGAAACTGCGGGAGATAGGTGTCGGCGTTGGGGTGAATAGATACTGCGATACTGGTGTGTACGAGCACCATTGAGGGCGGCTGGACCGTCTGACGCCAGGGCTGGCACCGGGAAGGTAGTTTTGTCAAGCTATGCATATTCGGGAGTCGTGGCGTCTTATATACCCTGTTGTTCTTCAATTAAGATTATCCTTTGCCGCAATACGCTCTGAGCGGGTGCTAATAGGTGTTTTGGCCGATGTCTCATCCTATCTGGCGGCTTCAGTGCTTGCTAGTGTTTCAATGCGACTGGCATCATTTCCCCCTAAGGTCTCCGCTCACAAAGACGACCAAAACGGTAGCATAAGCAGCAGTAGCCGCAAAGGTTTCTGCTCGGCTTGCACTGGTGAGCAGGCCGATAGTCGCCGCGAACAGCGTCGTAAACGCGGCAATCAAGCTAAGCCTCCACTTCGAAGACGTGATAACATAGAGGGCGACGATGGCCCCTATAAGGAGGATAGCAGCGAGGAGTGTGCTAATCGAGTTCACGAATCGTGCTATGTTTTGCTTAGAAACGTAAGCGTACTGGCCCTCTACGGGGCGTGTCTGCTATGGATCAGCCTAAACATCGGTATATAGAAGGTCGCAACATGGTAGCTCACTTTAAAGAATACAGGAAAGTGAGTTTGCACGATTAATGTCAGTCTGTCTTGCTATAGTGGTGTTTTGAGAGTGACTAGGTCATCTTCATCCTTGTAAAGACCGGGACTGTGGCCCCCGAGCAATATAAAGCCGTCTGGCTTCTCGGATTTTAGGTTAAAGAAGTGCCGGAGCGCGTCGAGTGTTCTTCGCGACGGCTGTCCGAGTGACGCGACAGAATTCTCGAGTTGCAGCGCTTTATAGACTGGTGCTAGAGTGGTGGTGAGCGAAAGGTTGTTGGATAGAGAACCACGAAGTAGAGGGAGAGAAAGCCCCTTGTATGCTCTCCTGTCTCTGGCTGTCCTTGGCTCCTCTCGGACTTAGCTGAGGAGATAATGCTTGGCAAGAGGGACTGCGCTCTGACGAGTGCAGTTTCCTCCATCCTCCATCTTGTTTTCTCTTGCAATCGACAGGACGATCATGGAGCTGAGGAGGGGTCGTGCAGGTTCAGCTCCTTTCGGAGGGCGAGGCCTTGTTGGGCGGATCCATACAGTGATGAACGGGAGTGAGACCGGCAAAAGGCGTCGATAGAGAGGTGCTGAAGCCCAGCACTAGCTGGATCTTCACTATTGATGGCGCTCTCCAGCCGCAACCGTTCGCTAAATCCTGCTCGGAATATCTTGACCCAGCGAAGCGGAACGCAACGATGCCATGAAGGGACATATCTAGCCCTGTCATTTGACCGTGTTGGGACTGTAGCTTTCCTGAGTACCTGTCCAGTCCTCTCAGAGAGCAGCTCTAAATTCCAAATCGTGGATTCGTGGCACAGTGGTGTTAGAGCTGAACCTGAAAGCCATCCAAGTCCTCGGAATCATGGCTGTCCTATCGCGGCTCTGCGGTGTCGCCAAGGACGTCAGTTGCAGTAATGCTTGGCGGAAGACTCTAGCAAGGCGTGAGCTTCCTGGTAAGTCGCTACCCCTTATTATTCGCGAGAATTGAACCGTACTTCTCGTTTCGTGGCCGCTGGTTCGCTGCATAACCTTTACCCGTAGAGGTGGGCGTGGGCTAGGTAACCGCAATTCCATCCGTTCTAGCGGGTACTAGCGGAGCGAAAGAAAGACTTTTTTTTGCATGGTTTAAGGTAGGAGAAGTATCGGAAAGCTGCTATATATATTGCATTATTAATAATAAATAGAAGCTTTTGTTTATAATCCTAAAAGACGGGTGCTAATCTGCACTGAAGGTAACCTTGACAACTAGCTGCAAAGGTTGGTCCCCAGCCTCCGGTGAGAGATTGATCGTTCTTGAGATCACCAAGAACGTTTATGCGTTCACTTGACAGAGAAAAACCCGAGAAGGAATCTCGAGCGCCATACCACCGACTGGACCTTCTTCTCGAAGTACCAGATCCAGAATCAACGACCCGCTAGGCTTTGTTTTGAGTCAGAAGATATACCGCAGTCTAATACCGTGGACTCATGTGTGTAGGGCATACACTCCGCCGTCTAGACCTTTTAAAGGGTGGTCGAGAACGCTTTTGTCACCAGCTACAAACTGCGTCGTTACACTTCATTGTTGCAGATTGCCTAACACGGTGTTCCAGCGCAGAACCTAGAATCATGTCCAGCACAGAGGTTGAAGCTCGGCCAATCAGAAATTAAACAGCTCTGGACCGAAAAACTTAGCTGACTGCGCAAGGCTTAGTTAACAGAAATCAAGTAACTTTAACGAGGCTTTTTTTTTTGCAGCTAGCTGTTAGATCGGAGGTCACCTCTTGTGGCAGAAGCTAAAGGCGTAGGAGCCCAGTTTACTAGCTACAGTATAAAGACGTTCTACAAAGAGAGAAGAGGCGGTATCGACACGCAATGTTGATGTTTACATCCAACCCGCTAACTAAGCAGTCGTGCATCGCGAGCCGGAACCGTGACACCTCTACTGTCAATCTAGTGCCTTCATGTCTATAATCTGACTTTGAAAGATACTCGTGTCATGATCGAGTTCTATAATCAACTAAAAAAAAAACTATCTAAAAGACTATCTAAAATCCTAACTAAAGGACAAATTGAACAACTGATTTTGGAACTAGTTAAGAGACTAACTAGAGGAAGCGAAACTATACAAACTATAGAGTGAGAGTATACATAATAGTTTTATAGTAAAGTAAGTAGAAGTCTAATCAATTAGCAAATTATGAAACTAACTAAAATTCCAAATGAAAAGCTATTTTGAAAAGCAATTGAGGAAATAGGCCGCTTTAATCTAAGCTAAGGGTGAGCTCGCCTGAGTACCGCCTAAGTAGCCCCGAGTAGCCCTAAGCAATATAACAGGAGTCTATTATAGCTCTTCTAGCAACTACTTCTAGCTCCTTTAAGACTTGGCTGTAGTTGTCTAGCCCTATAAAACTCTATCTATCTATACTTCCTCTTTCTTTACACGCCTTTTAATGCCAGCAAATATTTTCTAAGCCGCCTCACTTAACTATCTAAGAGTAAAACAACTCCTTTAGCCGCCTATAAGTATTATAACTTATAAACTTCCACCACCCCTAATTCCACTATATAAAAACATGCATTATTACCTACTATACTAGCTTTAGTACCGGCAGGAAGTTCTTCTACATCCTACCCTTAAACGTAATATTATAGTTTATAAAGATGTACGGTAGTACACTAAACTTACTTAGCATTCCTAGTACCTCCTTACCGTCTTTCTCTAATAATCCGGAGAGGTTAAGTTGCCGGCCTATCTTCTCGATATAAGTTAAGAGGGAGAGAAGAGTAGAGATCTTATTATTAAGGTGCTACTAAAGCGCTAGGCCGAAGGAGTCTATAATAGAAATAAAGTACGTAGCTAAGAAGCTAGATTCACAGCCGCTATATAGGGAGCTAAAGTAGAAACTATAGGCATAGAGCCTATTATAGAATGCTTCTATAATACAGTAATTATTATTAGTATTACTTAATATTAAAAGGTATATATAACTACATACTATACTACGCTATATTTCTATCTATTAGCCTCTTTATCCCGAGCGTCTACTTAATTATAGGGAAGAATATATTCTCCTTCTCCTAGTAGTGCGCGCTTAGCCCCTTATACTATATATATATACACTTAATAAAGTCCTTATAGTTACACGGCTATATATTTACTACTTAAAGGTAGATACTATTATAGCCGCGAGTTAAGGCGTTATATATAAGCGCTATATATAAGATAGCACTAGTGTATTAGTCTATCACGCCAGTTTAGTATTATAGAGTAGGGATTAGAGGAAGAGGGGTGTCAGCCTAGTAGCGGGTAGTAGTAGTAGGTTTAGACTTAGAGAATATTCTTAGAATTAGTGGTTTTAATATAAGATAGTTATATAATAAATAGATAGTGTATATACTTTATAGACTTAGAGGCGATATATAAGGTTTTTAGATCTAAAAGGTATAGATAATTTTAGATATCGCTAGCTCTACTAGTTCTAAAGAATCTTATAAGGCGGATACTTACTATCTTATATCTTAATCCTACTTAGTCTATAAATAAGATATTTATATATTAGTTAACCTTGTTTTACAGACTCGCCGCTATATATTATTAGCGTAATAAGATAGTTAATAACTATAAACTTCTAAGTATAGCTCTTAGCTACTCTTAAAAAGCTTAAGCTATATTAAGTTAATTATCTAAAGTGCTTATAACATTTTATTTATACTCTATAATAGCTTATTTATTTAAAGCTAGAGGGCTCTAGAAGCTAGCTATAAGCTTTAAATAACTTTCTCTTTTATATTATAATATTATATCACCTAGCTGCAACGTTCTAGCTAGATATAGTAAGGTAGTATTACTAAAGTCGCTAAGTACTTATAACCGCCTTACTTAGTAAAGGGAGCGAATTAGAAAAAGAGATAACTATATAGCTTTACCGTGCTATAGGCTAAAGAGACCTAAGTTAATAATTATACTCTATATATACTTAACTAGGGCTAATAGGATTACCGAGCTTACTTTTATATAGAAAATATTACTAAAAAGGGTTTTTAAAGCACTTAGCCTCTTATATATAAAGTAATATGCTTATATTTTAAAATATTCTATCTATTAAGTCTCGCCCTCTAAATAGTAATACGTAAAAGCAAAATTCTACTTATTAAATAAAACCTCTCTACTAAAAACACTAAGGTATCTATTCTATTAACGGCGAATTTATGTGAATATAGTTAGTAGTAGATAGAAAATATAGCCTATACATACCGCTTACTATACTCTATTACTATTAATAGAATAATACTAGAATAGTAACACGTAAATATTAGATCGGACTTTTTATTTCTATTATTCTAGATAGTTATTTCAATCCTTCTATTTAGCTAGTATACTCACCTTATCTATAGAGTTTATAACTTATTTAATTAGAGGTTTAACCTCGTGAGGTTCTATTAGATATCTATATATAATGTTTT